ATTTAAATGTTTTGAAAAAGGTAAACTTGGTCTCTATATTAATGTTTGTGTTATATAAGAAAATGTTAAAAAAAAGCATGGGTTAATTATCTAAAAACACTTTTTTATAACTTTACTGCATGATTTATTCAACCTTTAATGATTTTCTTCTAAAAATTTAGGTTGGGTTTATCATTATTTAAGAGGTGGTCGCTCCTATAAAAGACTGTTCCGCCATCTCTCTCTACATATACATAGACAGAGCTGATTTTTCAAACCATCAGAAATGTTAGCACACGAAACTCATGAAAGCCACTTAAATGTATTCTCCCAGGAACTTCCTGATTGAGTGAACTTTTGTTCTATATTTACTTTAGTTACACCTGAAGGAGCTTGTGCACACAATATTAAATTGCATATCTAAAAGCACTTACAAAAACTTGTACCTTAAATGTATACGAATATTAAAAATATTACAAATTATAAAGAACACATTATACATGACCTGCAAACATATGTGATTTTGTAATGTGACACCGGAGGAAACCATTGATTCAGTTTTTAAATGTATTCTATGATTTGATTTAATCACTTTTTTCCAACCTGGCTTATATTTGTGGTCATCACCTGATGTATTTTTTAAAAAAATATTTTTGGTTGTGAGAGTGTCCAATTAATCTGTAAAGTAGCAGTGTGTTTATATACTGGCCACTATTTGACACTGAAAATCTAAAACACATGCTTACTCAACTTCGGTGTTCCCACTGCTAGATTACTTTATAATAATGCAATAATCTAGAGATAGCTTTTAAAATTAACAAACTGCAAGACTCCAGAAAAGTTAATGAAAAACAGCTCAATCCTGATGAGGTTGGCTGATATTCACAGGAATCAGGAATAGTAAGTCTATCTATAAGTATTCTTTCACAATAAATCTATAATGGAATTTAAATGAAACACACCATTATGAGACAATAATTCTTGTACAGTAGAGAGCTATATAATACATTTGAAGGTAATGTTAACATATTTATTAATTTAATCAATAAATGTATATTTTATAGATTTAATTTTCTGAAACTATAACATGCTAGCTTCTTTATTACTTATTAAAGGAAATATGTTATTTTGGGTACTTTTAAAGGCATCCACATCTCAGTAAACTAGGGTTTAGGCATTAAAAGAAATATTCTAAAATGAATAATTATAAGTAATTATAGGTCACTTTGAGACTAAATACCATTTTAACTCTAAACTTAATAAAAATAAACATTTTGAGAAATTACAAATTGTGTTTAAGAAATAACTGAATACAAAAGAATGAAAATCTATAAGATTTCTTAATTTACTAGATTGCAAGTCATTTCTCCACATCAGAATTTATACTTTCTTGATTAGAAATAAACATTTAAAAAAATCAACACAACCATTTATTTTATGATTAAACACCTAGCAATCCACTCAGGTTACTAAAATATACTAGTTATATGTATTAATCTTGGGGAGAAATAAATTGGTGAGAAAAACATAATTGGGTTTATTTCGATTATTAGAGCATCAACTAGTAATTCATGATTTGTTACTTTGTATATGAAATTGAGACATATCTCAGAACTGTTTTCATGAATAGTTTATGTCCAACATTATGTATAGAATTATGGATTCATACCCTTTGAAATTATTATCTTTGGAGACTTTGTAACTGGATAGGTCTGCAAATAAGCAATTGGATATAAGTATTCTTAATAACTTATCAAATATGCCTTGAAATGATAGTGATAAAAGCCTTATAATGTTATTGATGATGATATCTGATAACAAGTGTAAAATGGTTGGAGTGGCTATTTGATATCACTAAGGAAAAAAAAAAAAAAAAGCTGGCCTAGAACTTCTAGGTATATATTCAGAAGAGCCATTAGTGTTCGTGATTAAATTTCATCTTCCTAGCATCTTTTCTAGATTCTCAAATAGAATAAACACTATTAAACTAGAGTTTCCTTGTAAGAATCAAGACTACCCATTAAAAATCAATAATATTCAAGCACAAATTATTATTTTTTGGCTTTGTTCTCCCTTTAGAACTTATGAACCATAAAACATTGAAAAATCATAAAACCATATAGCAATACACAGAAAAAGTGGTGAGAATCGCATTCCTAAATGGCTAAAAGAAATTATTCTAAAAGTAGTTGCTAAATTAAAAAACAAATAATGCCACATTGCCTAATTAACTTTGGTAATCTGAATATAGTTTATAAAATATGCTAGAAATGAATAGTCTCACATTGTTTGAGGTTCTCCATTTTGAAAGTTGTTACATGAGAATATTTTGATATTGCTTTCAATTAAAATGATAGAAATCATCAAGTTCATAACATAAACCTGCTAAAAAAAAAAGCAAACTTTCCTTTTACAAAATGACACTAAGAAGTTAAGCAAGAACAACTATTTTTACAAAACTGACTATTCTCCCAGAACTGCATTAAAGCTAAGGTGCACATAATGTAAATAAGAGCTCAGGTGCCTTAAGGAGTGTAATTTTTTGGGGGGGGTACACAATATCAAAACAAAAGAAATATTTAAACTCATTAGACATGATGACTCCATAGACTCAGAATATTTGATACTAATAGTTTATAATAGTTGAGTCAAATTTACTTCTTGCAGAGAAAGAGAGCTTTATCCAAGAGACCAAAAAAAAACAAAAACCAAAAGTAAAACGTTATCTTTTTCAGAATTGACTTTGTTATTTACTTTGTATTTTCAAAGCACCCTCATCTCATGTCATTTTATCTACAAGAACACTCACTATAAAGTAGATATTGTTTTCTCCATGTGGGAAATTTAGGGGAAATAAATGAAAAGTGGTCCAGAAACCTCCTAGAATAACATTAGTGAGCTAGAGATAGAACTGAATTGGGGAAGGGTTCCGAGATCCATCTCACCCTTCTTTTCACAATAACCCACCACCAGATGGCAAAGAGAGAAATCTTAACAATCTTAGAACAGTCCCTCAATAATCGAAATCATAATCATATCCAAATACCTTTGTGATATTTTTCAAGGAAATATAAATTTGTGCTAAACTTGTATGAATTAGTTTTCTATTCCTGTTTGTGTTTGAACTTTTAATACTAATATCCAATTTTCTAAGTTGCTAAATTTTTTGATGTTTATTCTAGTCAGTAACTGATCATTATAGAAATAATATTAAAGAAAAAAAACAGCAAATATAGGAAACTGAAGCCTAAGTTGATAAAAAAGCATCAAAGTTTTGAAGTCCCACCAGTTGAGTTCCTTGCACTTGTAGAGAGAAAGACACAAAGGTACTCTTCTGGATATAAATTCCATTTTTATTTCAAGAACACACAACTCTAGGGCTAAGGCTAATTTTAAGTATGTGTGTGTGAATATAATACACACACATGTGTGCATACACACTCACACTCTTTTTTAAAAGTCCTAATGGTTTCTTCCAACTTAAGTTTGATTTACTTAACTGTAATATGCCAATCTTTTTTGCAAAAAGACAATCAAGATATCCTGTATTTCATAAAAATGCACATTGCCATTATGATATTGAGTTTGCTAAAAGAAAACATCTCTTGAGAGGCTGGAATCACATATTATCTGATTAACTGATAAATGAAATCAATCAGATGGTATCATGTCTATTTCATTTAGAAAGCATTATTAAAGCAATGTAGATTTAAAATAAATACCTTGTCGACCTACCCCAAAATGGATACACACACACACACACACACACACACGAGAGCATGTTCATTACAGTATTCACTACTATAAAAATCGAGTATAAAATGCAAAAGAATTGAGGACTTGGAATTCATTGATTAATTACTTTCTGCAGTGGAGTAAAAACTACCTCTTGCATCCATCTATGAACAGCACTAGAACTTTGCAGTTTTATGACCCGAAGTTGCAATTATCTTTCATATTTCCTCAAGGTGTTATCTGTGAGCCTCACGAGCAGAAAAATTGATTCATCAGGAATCATAACAATAAATATAAGTACCAAAAATATTTCCAGAGAGAATCTTAAAGAATACAATTTGCTAAGGGAAGAGAAAGTACTAGAAATAACATAAATACTTTTAGGATTGTATCTCCTCAACATTTGTTGGCTTCACTGTTATACTCAGACTCCTGCAACATGGAAGCACAGCATAACAAAACAATATCAATAATAACAAAACTTATTAAAACAGTCAACATTGATTTTGTTATTTTAATTGGGTTTGTTGTTATTAAATCTGATAGTGGAAGACACCTACTAACTGCTATAAAGACACACCTACAAAACTTAAAATTTACAAAACCTTTATTTCTGGGAGAATTACCATTATTTTCTAAATTTGTTCCGAGTTTATTTCTCAGTTTCCATCTAACTGGTTCCCTAAGCCCAAAGGTTTCTATACTGGGGTCATACACAACACTGCCTTAGGGCAAACTCTTCTCATCCTATTTGACAACCCAGCCAACCCCCACTCCAAAGATTTTTTTTTTAATTGAAAACATAACATAAAACAGCCATTCCTATGAAGCCGTCAGAATTAAACTGCTGGCTCAAGATGCCCTTAATACAACAGTTTTCCGAGTGTCCTTTATAGAGTAAGGTCTGTGACCTTAACAACCAACATTGTTTTAAGGCATTTTTGCAAATTCTACCTGACATACTTCATTGGGTCATGCCTCCCTCCGTCTAACTCTCCCCCCCCACTCCCACCCAAGATCTTCCCCTCACCCTGGCCCAGTGTATGATTTCTATAACACTGGTAAACATTTCAATGAAGGCAAGCGGAACATTTAAATGAACGCATGTTAAACATGGAAATGGAGTTAAAACAGTTCACGAATGTGAATATTAAGAAGTTACGCATCACAGCAGAACCATCTGCAAATACATACATTCCGTGGCTCGAAACTGGGAAACATTATCACCGGATGTGTCCAACACAGGTCGTACAATTGTCAAAGAAATATAGACATTCAGTCCTTACCTGCTTAACAGCATGATGACAAACACACCTAAACAGCACGCCAAAGATCCAGTCCCCAATATCTGAATCATCTGCCTTCCAAGCTGCTGTGACAGTTTTATACCCTGGTGCCTTCTTCTTGGCTTACAGACATTTGACTGGCTAGGATATCCGTGAGGGATAGGAGGGTGATTAGCAGCCCTAGTCGCCTCTTCCTCTTTTCAAGACTCTGGGGCTGGCTCACACACAGCTGGAAACAGGCGTCTCATCTCCGGAGGTGGAGCCTCCCCAACGAGTCCCAGCTGGGTTCCCTCTAGAAGGAGGTCCCTGCTCTAAAGGGCTGGTCACGTTCCAGACCTGGTGCAAAGTAAAACGCTCTCTGGTTCAACTCTTGAGACCAGAACAGCCACCGGAGCCCTAAACTCTGGGCCACTGCTTGGCTGCAGAGCCAGCAGCCACCAGCAGCCAGGACGCACCAGCCCTTCCCAGGTGGACGCTGGAGGGGAGCGCTGGGTCTCAGACCCTTCTACCTCCCACCCCACCTCCAGAAAAAGGGGGGAGGGCTAAAATGAAACGCCCAATGGAAAGTGGGTATCCTCTAAGTTCAGGGTTCCCAGCCCCACCTCTTTGCTCTGAACTTCAACCTTATAATCCAAGCCCCAGCTCCAAGTTGAAATCGAACTCTTTCCCACCGCCCCCCAGATTCCTGCGAGTTGGAGAAGGGAGGGAGGGAGGGATGGTCAGCGATACTTTCATCCAGAGCCGGAGAAGTCAGCGAGCAGTCGGATGGAAACGGCGATTAGGGTTCTATAAAGCCGGCGAGCTGAAGGGCCCTCACTGATTAGGCTTAGTTAGAGCTCATTACAAACAATTCCTTCATTAATACAAACGGAGAAGGGCCTTCACAGGAGGTTCTCCAGCTCCCAAGTGTGTCTGTCCTCTGGCTCAGGGAAAAGGTTTAGCTCAAGTTCGGCCAGAGGAAGACTGAAATGGAGGCGCAGAGCAAGGCTGGAACCCCCCGGCGCGCCCCGCGCTCCCGGGCTGCAAATGCACACAGCGGTTCGCCGCAGGGGCTGAGCGCCGAGCCTGCGCCAGCTGGTGGGCAAGCAGGGCTGAGTCCCTGCCCACGCGGGTCCCTCCCACACCCCGCGCCACACCTGGGGCCAGCCAGTCACCGGGGCACCTGGTCCTCCGCGCTCCCTGCGCCCAGGTGGCTCAGGCGTTGCCAGGGGCTGCGGAGGACCTGCAGGCAGTCAGTCGCCTGTTGCTAGCCCTCCGGTTAAAGCATCCCTCGCTGTCGCCCCAAGCCTGCGAGTCAGGTAATAATACAGCAAAACCCACTTACCTAAATACCGTATGCCCGTGTCTGACTGGAGAAGGCCAGCTGAAGAAGAAAAGGTCTGACCGCACTGAAAGTTGTTTTTTTTTCTCACTCCCTCCACCCCTGCGCACAGCAGCAGCAGTCCTTCAGAGGGGATGATGTTTGAATTTGGTGAATTACACTAAGCACTGGTTTCTTCAGCTGAAGTCATTGGAGCTGAAGACACTTGTCAGGCAGGACGAGCAGGCTGGGAAGGGGACCAGGTAGAAACTAAGGGGGGAGTGGGGGTGCCAAGCGATGGATGCGACCACAGTCTCGGCCCTGTTTGCTTGGTGGGAGCCCAGAGGGGGAAAGCCCTCGGATCCTGAGACTGCGGGAGGGGGCGACGCTGCAGCTGGAGTACTTTTATGTCTGGAAGCTTAAAAGGGCTTTTGAATTTAAAAAGCATTACTTGGGTTGTCGCGTCAGCCATCAATGACTACCGGAATAGTTCTTTCCCAGAAATAAATGTAAAAAAAAAAAAAAGAAAAAAGGAAAAAAGAAAATAAAGAAGAAAAAAAAAAAGCTTGAACAATAGACTCTCACCTCCATCCATACCAATAAAATGTTGCAGAAACCCAGAAACTTGTTCTTATTGGGTGGGGGCGGGGGGGGGGATCACAGAGAAAAAACCAAAACCTGGGTAGGCATTAGAGATTACCAATACACACAGGTTTGGCATTCAATTAATGCTGTGTCTTTATCAATATGTGAAGTAAAAGCTAAGCTTTAAATCTTCTCAACACTCCTATACTTAAAGGTGAAGTGATAATCGTAGCTGTCAGTTAGGCTCACCAAAAACGTTCATAAGAGCAAAGCACACTGACATATTACAAATTGAGTCTAGGGGTTGAACACGTGTGGGGTCAGGCAGTTCCACTTTGCACACAAAGCCTGTCCCTAAATTTCAGGGTAGGAGAACCAAGACCATCCGTGCCTTCGTCTGAAATGAGCAAGCACTCCATGTCCAATTAACTAACTGTTGACCAACTCAATTCACAAGACTGGAAGTGCACTCCCAAATATGATGACTGAATTGAAATACACTGCCCCAAATAATGGGTCCATGTGTGATTTGGGATGTTAGAAGAAAAAAAAAAACCAAATGGTGCACTGGAAACTCACACTCCTTACCATACAGTGGTTTTTAATGCTCAGTGTCCTGCTAAACCCATAAAAATACACTTTACACAAGTCCTCCCCCAGTTATGTAACGGCTTGCAATGAACAAACACTGACCTCAACAACCTTCTGAGGATCAGAGACTAGCAAACTTTCCCAGACCCTGCAATTGTCAGGAGGTCCCTGTTAAGCGCACTCCTAAACATAAAATTTGACCTTTCAGATGATGCTGGAATGTGTGCAAGAGGCATTAATGGGGGAGTGGGGGAGGATGGTTAATGTTTCCTATAACCTGTAATATAAATGAGGACAGAAATAAAAACAGAATGTAAATGATGATGGAGTAATTCATTACATGGGTTATATCTTAGTAGCATGACTGCAACTAACATACTAATTAAAGATGCTCACACAGATCTCTGAGTTCTGAAAGTCACAAAAATGTAAAAAAAAATGACACTTCCTTTAACAAACACAGCTTATTTAAACATCACAGCGGCAATACATTTCTAATAAAGCACAGACAGAATAACTTACCAGAGGAAATTTCAGGACGCAAGATGACAGTGAGAAAAATACATCCAGAATTCAAACAGATAGTCCATGATATCCCAAATCAAGGTAAAGTGGTGAGCTCTTGGATGGTGGAACTTTGAAATAATCAGCGGTTCCTGGTGGCATGTAACCAAGTAAAAACCAGTTACATGCAGAGCCAAGAACCTCCAAGGAAGAGAAGCAAAATGTGAAAGAGGCGTCCTTTATTTGGGGGGGGGGGGAGGGTGGTGATGGATGGGGGGCTTCTATGTGATGATCCTTAGGGAGCCAAAGTGAAAATTTACCGACTGTACATCCCCACACAGTGGGGAAAAATAGAAGCCGTGTCACCCCAGAGCACAGGAGGTAGCACACAGATAAATCTGCAGAGAGAAGAGAAAGGGTGTGTGGAAGACGGGGAGATGAGCAGGGAACTACTGAGCGAGGCTGGAGTCATCCTGACAGATACGGCGGCGGCGAGAATGACTGAGGCTGCCGGGAAGGATCCAATGAGAATTCAAGAGGGCATTGCCTCGGGAAGCCTGCTCTCGCCTTCCCACTCTCAGTTCTTTAAGAGTTACCTGCGTCGGGAACATCATGCTTAGAATGAATAGTATCCCACCAGTGCATTTCACTCGATTTCCCGGGAACCCTCTCACTGGCAGCAACTCAAAGAGGCGAAAAGGAAACCTAGCACAGCCAACCCTGCACATAAGCCACTGAGGTCACATTAGGATGACCCAACCACTGGCGATTTGCATTTGGGGGTGGGGATGGGGCGGCGGGTGGAGGGGTGGGGGGTGTCGAAGGGCTGGAGATGTGGCTCAGGCCGAGTCGTCAGGCGCTTTCGGGGTCGCTGCGCCAGCCAGCGGGTTGGGTAAGGCGACACCGTGGCTGAAAGCGCAGCGGCTGCCTCGGGAGCTCTCCCGGGTCCTGATTTCCTGGCGCATCCTGATGCCCGCGACTCCAGGCGACTGACTTCCATCGGAAACCTCAGCTCCGAACGCCTGGCTTTTAGAATGCTAGAGTTTGGGAGGTTCTGGGGACCGTCCCTGGGGGAGGAGGTGGCAGGCTGTGCGGCTCCTGCGTCCCTTATGATTCCTGCACAGTTACCGAGGGAGACTGTGCCAGAAATGGCTTTGCTGCAAAACGCATTCTCGTGCCATTTCCGTACCCCGATACGGCACACACACGATTGCCGGATCGATCGGGTAAGGTTAGCTTTTTATTCCTTCTCCTCTTTTCTCCCACAATCCCATTTCTTCTGCAAGCCCAAACCCCAAACCCCAAACCCCATTCCTCTTCAAGCTTAAATCCTTCCTTCCCTCCCCTCAAGTCAGGAACTTCCCTTTCCTCTTTAAAACCTAAATCCCCCAGGAAGCTGCTTGTGAGACTGAGGGGCTGGTGGTTCTCTTTGTGGATGATTTATATTTTGGCTGTGAAGTGAATCCCCCTCACCACCGCCGGGACCCTCCTTAGGGAAGACTCCTCCCTTCCCGGGCTCACTCCCAGAGCTAGGATCTGGATAAAGAGCGCTCTGGGAGTCCTTTACCCTTTACTCTATCTTCCTCTGGACCCTGAAGCTTAAGCATTATCTGCCTCTCTCTCTCTTTTTTAGAAATAGGAGGGAAAGGTAGAGTGGAAATTGATTTCTTGCACAGACTAAGGCGGCGAATGATAGAGGGAATAAACATTGGCCCTGGATAAAAATGTTCTTGGTAAGTAATCTTATTTTCTGTGGTTGGAAAGCAAAGGCACTGCTTCCCATGGCCCCTCCCCCTACTCCATTCATTTATTTGCTCTCAGTATGGCAATCACGAGCTGGGTCAGTGGAAATGTGTTTTTTTTTCCTCCTTCCTAGGAAAACAGTGGATTGTAAGGGTGAATGTGAAGTAGGGGAGTTTAATGAGGCAACGTCAAGGCTGAAAGTCCATTTCTGGCACTCCAAACCCAATCACAAGTAAAGCTGATGTCTGCCTGCTTGCTAACGAGGTATTTAAACATTTCCCTTATTTCTAACCAATTCTCTTTCCTTTTTGAATATAAAGGAAATGGTTTCTAGTAGTAAACCCCATGTCTATGCTTCTGGTATATCTTAGCCATGTTATAAAATATAATATTAGGGCCGGCCAAGTGGCACGTTAGTTAAGAGCTGGCTTGGAACACCAGAGGGCCCTGGTTTGGATTCCACATGAGGGCCAGTGACACTGCCCTCTACAGCTAAGATGCTGAACAACAGCTCAGCCTGGAGCTGGGCTGCCATGAGTCACCGGCGATGGCATAGGCTGCAGCCCCTGCGGCAGTGGGTTGCCATGGGCTACCGTGTGTGGCCCGGCAGCCAGCATGAGCGGCCAGCAGCCTCCATGACCGGCAGTCCAGAAGCCGGTGACTGATCTGCCTTGCCCGGGAAGAACGCAATGATGGTGCCAACTTGGGCCAGTGAAGCAACGTCCTCCTCAACTAGACTGAAGAACAAAAGGACAGCAACTTGTCTGTTCCCCTTCCCCCAATTCCCCAGCGCTGTTCCCATCCCCAATTCCCCCAATAAAAATCTTAAATATATATATATATAGATAGATAGATAGATAGATATAGATATATAGATATAGATATATTTTTTTTTCAGTTGCAGAAATGAGAATGCATTTTTTTTAAGTTTGCCAGGTAAGTTCAAGCTACAGTAAGCCTGCCCAGTGATGTATGCATCTTGGTTCCAATTCTTGTATAAATTAGTAGCCTCCAAAATAGCGATTTGCATGTTGTGATGAGACCTACACACTCGTCATGCCCTGTGGTTTCCATGAGTCTACACACTCTCGGTCTGCCCATGCTCCACCTGTGGGAAGAGCAGGTAGGTGTGGAAGTGGGAAGATGCCAAGCAGCTCTCAGTAGTGCTCGCATCACGTGTCACTAAGGGCAGAATAGCACCTCTTCAAACTGTGTGAATTTGGTTTTCAAGTGAAAACTGCCCCTTCTGAATGTGAACAAGGTTTGCTCTAAGAGGAATTGCTGCAATTTTGAGTCATAGCATATATTTTACTGGTGAAATAGTCATAGTAATGTTTTCCTCCACTGTTGTGAATCCTTCCACTGGGAACCTATAAACATAAACATATGTTTATGCCCGAATTTTAATAATAATAATAATAATAATAATAATAATAATAATAATACAGCAAATTGACTCACAGTTAATTCATGATAAAAACAGGGTGGGCTAAATCTCATTGGAAATATGTCATATAAAAAAATCTCATTGATAAGAATAGATTTCATTTCAGATCAATTTTCTAGAAATCACTAGTACAAAATCCCAGAAGAGAGCTAGCTAAGTGGCATGTTACAACCGTAAGGCAAACTGCATGAGCACAAGTATCTATAGTATCTATTACTGTCAAAATTGTGTGTGTGTGGGGGGGGCGATTCAGTAAGTAGATATTTGTATAATTTTCTTTTCTTTCTCTCCTTAGGCTGTATTCTAGCTCTAATGATGTCCTAGAGCAGAAGTTTTTCTTCAGTCATCACATTTTACCAAAAGGATGATTTCTGTGTATGTCCCTGTGTTTGCCAGAGACTGACAAATGTTGCTGGGGGATCTGGGACTCACATAAGGAGGATGAATATCCTGAATTACATCCATTATAAATACAATCTAACAACTGTGACATACAGAGAGCATACTTTCCATCTAATATCTCAATATGCCTCCTAAACCTACTGGTATAATTTGCTATTCAAAGAAATGCAATCATTTGTTGAGGACCAAGCTTAACTTAAATCACAATTTTTGTATATTTAAGTAAAATAAATATAAGTTTGCTGTTCTTTGAAATATTTGGAGAAAAAAGTACAGGATAGAAAATAATATTGTGGCCCATGGTTCCGTAACCTTAAAACAGTTCATAGCACTTAAATTTTATTAAACAGTTTAAGTACTTGAGCATAATACTAAATCATATGATTACATGTGATCAACCTCAAAATAGGTCCGTAGGCCTTAAACCTCCTTGCTGGCTTTAACATTAAAGACAAATCTGGTTAGTACTTAGAACTTTCTCAGAATTTATACATTTTAATTTCATGTTGAGTATGTCCTTTCCTGGATTATCTCAATGCACATTTTCAGTGGGTATTTTAGCACATTTTGTATTACTGGTAATGCTTTTGTTTGCTACCCTAGCTCCTTCTTTTAAGTATAAGGATACCATCTAATAATGTATTTTTTACCTAATCCACAAAAATTTCCAGTCTAAGCAACATTCAAGAAATATTGTATCAGAGAAATTGTGAAGCAATTTGCTCATGAAGTAAAATTCAATATGCTTCAGGTTTTCACCATAAATCAAACTTACAGCAAAAATGGGTTATAGTAAGATAAGTGTATTCAAAGTCTTCATTGCATACGAGAGCCATACATGACACACACGTTTTTGCCTACACAACTGCCCTTATTTGAATATGTAAATTTATTCAGTTTAGTCTCCGTGCTATGTGTATATTTTAGTTTTAGAGCTTTCCCTTTGAAAGTGTCTCAAGTTTCTTAAATACCCAAGTGTTCAAGCATCTTCAGTTCTTACTCCATAGTATCAATATGCTACTAAATAAACTGAGCCAATACATTCAGATCTCAAAAAAGTATGTGGGAACTTGAAGGGACTTTAAAGATCATTGAGTCTAACTTCATTATAATAAAGAAATTGAGAATCAGAGAGGTTAAGTGATTAGTGAAACCATACACTAACCAGGCACCCAACGAACTTTGAATGCAGTGCTCTTAACTTCTTAGCTAGTGTTTATTCTAAATCAATTAAATTCTATTACTAGCTACTAAAATAGGTATTGAGATTGGGGCAGGGAACAAATGAAAGGAAGAGAAACTAGTTCAAATATAAATTACAGCCTTCTTGGCCTGTATTTTATTTCTGTGCCATGTTTTATCCTCCACTTTTTTCTCCACCCCCACCCGCAAAGACAGGAACATTTAATGATGTAATTTTACTTCCTCAGGCAAGAGTGTGTGTTCTTTTTCTTTGTGCACTGGGTTGTTTTGTGGACTATCGGGGCCTCACACCTCCTACAAAACAACCTTAAACTAGATAATTCCAACCACCTGCAGCATCATAATCTATCATGTTACCTCTATGCTCTGCTTTTTACATCACTACCCATATAAAAAATAGGATTCTAGCAAGAGGAAAGCCACCATCTCTAAAGAAGATGATTAACCAACTGTGGCTTACATCTGAAACCACACATGCACACTGTGAAATAAATGGATACCAAAACAATGCACTGTGATCGAAACAGTATGAAAAATAAAAATCCATGTTCCTTTTAAAAAGGGCTTTCTTAATTAGGAGAAAAGCTACAAGACTTCAACCATTTAGGAGAGCTCAATTTTCTTGAGTGGCTGAAGACATATCAGTCTCCTTCATTCTTTCATATAATCAATGTTTGAGTGTTACATGTAAGCTTTTTTCTTTAATGGCAACCCTGAAAGACAAATACCAACACTACAATTCATTAGCAGTTATTACTATTTCAAAGGGATCGGCAGGTGTCATTACTCCTTAGATTAAAAAACACAAGAATAGCATTAAATTTAAATATATTTTTAAATGCCTGTAATAAGCTCTTATAAAATTAAAATTGTTCATTAATCTGAAATGTTGCAAAGGATGGAACATGTATGAGGTAGGCTTTATATTGATTATTTTATGTTATAAGAGTTGAAAACAAAATCTGCAATTATTTAAAACCTATTTGTTGATGAGTAGAAATTTCTAATTGTTAAAGGAAAAGCTAAGTAGATTCATGGGATTTTCGTAAAAGCCTACTATAGGCCTGTTTCTTTAGATTATCTCGTATCAACTGTGTGACTTGGTTATAGAGTAGCCTAGCTTAGCCCTTGCAGGATACATGGTCCCATCAAAAACATCCACAGAGACATCTGGCTGATGCCAAAAAGTCTTTGATATTTGGTCCTGTCCATATTGTCCACTCTTAGAAAACATCCCAGGGTTCAAAGAGCCCATAATGCTGATTTCTACTTCTGGCTTACAGGAATCATACATAAAAGGTACTACTACGTTCTACTGGTCCAATAATTGCATTGTGGTTGTATTGCCAAACATAATCTTTCTTGCCGCAGTAGCCTAGTAGCAGGTCATAGCACGTGGGGTGAAGTAGATGGATCAGCATGGATGGAATGTCTCTGCGGACATTTGGACAGGACCTAATGTCCTCTAGTCAGATGAGCTGTCTCTGCTTAATGTCAGCATGATAATCCTCAAAAGGGGAAAGCAGGAGGAAAGAGTCAGAGAAGAAGATGTGACGACAGAAGCAGATGGGGTGATGGGGGACCATTAGCCAAGAAATGCAGGCAGGTCACCCTCTAGAAGTGGAAAAAAGGGAAGGAAACCAAGTCTCCCCTACAGCTTCCAGAAGAAATGAAATCCTGCTGAGCCATGTTAGACTTCTGAGCGCTAGAATTAGAAGTTGATCAATCTGTGTTGTTATAA